ATACATACATACATACATACATACATACATACATACATACATACATAACATATATCATAAAATTTTATCTATAATTACATTGAAACCACTCATCACTGATCACATCTTTCCAATTATGTGTGTACAATACACTGATATTATACATCTATTCTATAATATATCTTAGTATAAACATGAATATGTTTTGAACATGGTTTTGTCAGGGTCCACTTTTCAGGCCGCAGGGATCACAGTCCACGCTTCCACCGACCTGCCGAATATGCGTGGTGTCCTCGGTGGCCCCCTTGTGTCGTCGCGTGGGCCCGCCCGTTTCGAGCGTTCCCAGCCGAATCGAAGCCACGAGGGTCGCACCGGTGCTGGTCGTTGAGCTCTGGAGCTCGGCAGTGTCACAGCCCGGAGAGCTGGTCGCCTTCCTGAATCTCACTCAAGGACGGCATCTTGGAGCTGCGACGAGGTTTCTGTGGGCGGAAGCCTCGTAAGTGCAGCCAGAGCTTTTCCCCATGGTGATGGTGTAAACCCGCCTCGTCCACCGAAAACCAGCCAGTGAGTCCAGGCAGTTGAATCGTCATTGGATTCATCTGCATGGAATGAGGTCTGGAAGGATCACGCCACGCCTTTTCAGCGAATCGCACCACGCGAGACCGGACCCTCTCCCAATCGGTGGGTTTCACCAGCTTCCGCAAACTTGGCATGCTGGAGTGCAAAGCTGTGGGAACATCCTCAAGGGAGCAACTAGGATATGAATGGATATGATGTAATTCCCTGTATATGCCTTCGTTCAAAGAATTAATTAGCATATTCCTCGCAAAGAGAGAACTGGCAGCAGGTGGCATCTGCAAAATGCAGCTGCAGGACCGTAGGAATTCTTTTTTCTTTCAACATGCCCCCAAGGGATCACCCCACCTATGGGTCAAAAATCGGGTGATCTTAGTTGACCCATCAAAATGAACAACAAAACAGGGTTTAGGGCTCCGGGTTTTGACCCGAACTCCTGTGGCTCTTCATAGCGCAAAAAGTTCAATTCAACTTGCGTCACATCGTGGAGCTGCGTTTGAGGATCTACCAGTAAGAACATCTCTTGCAACTCTGGCTTGTCGCCAACTGTAGAACTTCGGCTGGAGTTGGAGATCGAATCTGATGGCTTCGGATCTCTCCTCAATTGAAGAACGCAAAGGCAATGTGATGCGAAGTTTTGTGCGCCGCCTTTTTAAAAATATTAGACATTAATATGTGCTCCGTCTCTTGGCCGGAAGAACAGTGACCGTACCGGACCAAAAAAACTATGGGACCAACCCTGCATGTGTTGCACTCGCAAAGGTTGATTGCTTACTGCGAATTTACCCCACTTACTATTTCTCCTCTTGATGTGACATTGCTGTGAAAGAATCACAACTCTGTGTGTAGATCGCTCACTTGCAGCATGACGAAACATGCAGAAATGTGATCAACAAAATGGTGCAAAATGATAAGCCAAGCAACATGATCCACTCATGACAAATAACAAGTACCTGGACCCTCCAAAGTCGTCCAAATTACCCTATATAGCTATATATTATATTATATAGTATACATGTACCATCATGTACCCATTTTCTGAGGCACCAGGTATCGAATCCAGACTCCAGGTATCTCATGTAAAGGTGACGATTCCTTAACAAACTTCCCGAACTTCAGTGGCTCAACCGATCCGAACCCATTCGTCGTTCCGCGTCGAACCCATGTGTCCCGAGCGTCGTTCCGGCCGCGCCCCTGCCGGTGAGCAGGGCTGCGGGGACTGCACCGTCGTGGGCTGCTGGAACTTGAGACCTGGAATCCAAATCCTCCTTGAAGGCAATGAGGTGTGAAGGTTCATCGTCACCAAACAGCCCTGGAGGGAGAGAGAGAGAGAGAGAGACACACTTCGTCCGGCACGAAACACCGTCACACCACGTGGTTTCTTGCAGCGCTGTTGTTGTGGGGGGCGCTTTTGTTGCATGCGGGACTCCCAAAAACGATCAAAAACGCGAGCTCGGCGAGGGACACACGGTGTTCGGAGATCGAGATGCGTTTTTCTTCACATCGACGAAGACGGGCACAACGACGCAAGGGATCGATCTGATCCCGAACAAGAAAAAAAGAAGAAACGATGGGATCTGTTTAGGCAATATAATTATATACCATGGACCAGCATCCGGATGGTGGTCTAGACCCCGCATGACTATCCATCCAGTCTATCCATCTATGTCCAATAACCAACCGGTTTGGAACATCGACGTCCACACGTGAGACCTGAACCCTCCGGCCCCCCCGTGAAACGGTCGCCTCAGGTTCCATTGGGACATGGCTGCGTTGTTTGGGTCATATCCCTTTTTTCGGGTTTGATGTGGAGGGTCAATGGGTCCAGAATGGTGTATATATACATGATTTTCTTTGCTAGGGTACTATCTGGAGTATACCATATATGTACCAGTTTCATTCATTTTCTAGGGCATTATCTGGAGGGTCCATACACTTATATAGATTAAACAGATACATAGCTCAGGTACTTGTCAGTGACCGAACTGCTTGCTGTAAAAGTTTCAGGTGATCTCATTGGATGCGGGAGGCGGAAAAAGGGGGTCCATGGGGAAGCCTAGACCATCCATCAGACTGGAATACATTGAACATCATTGACCATCCTTAGAACATCTTGAAATCACCCCAATAGATCGGCACATATTCCTGTGGATGAGGGAAGGAAGGGCACAAGAAGCGTTCGCCAACGAAGTCATGGCGTTCGTTGTTCGTCTCCGTAGATTTCAAGGACATGTTCACCCCGAAAATGTGGAGCAAAATGAGTCGACTCATATGTCTCAGGTACTTGGATCCTCCAAAGTACTACCAACCTGAAGGACGGGTACAACTGTACTCATTTCTGAAGTACCTTGAGACTCCAGGTACTTTCTTGTTCTATGATGCTCTATGTCTATTCTGCCTTCTGTCCTCAACTCGCAGAAAACCGAAAAAGAAACAACACACACCCGACCTGGAACAGGAACGTGGTACAAATCCGCAGCAACTCGTATGCCTTCAGATCCCCGTAAGCTCACTCGTAGACACAATGGTGTTGCTGAGTCCGTGCGCTCTCCAAAGGTTTGGGTCGAAGCTCGGATGAAGGCATCGAAGCGAGATCGTTCGTCATCCGCAAGGAGATCTTGAAAGGATAAGCCCGCGAGGCTCACGTTGGTCAAAATGAGATGCTTCAAGCACTCGCTTTCCTCGGGAATTCCGAGGAAAGCGAGTCCGTCCATGCGTCCAGTTTTGGGACGCACGTTCTTTCGTTCCGGCAACATACGGTCACCAATGAACGGTTCTACTTAAAGGATCTTAAAGGTCTCCGATGGGCGCCCATTGGAAGCGCTAGGTCCAAGGTGTATACACAATATTATATATAATCTAATGTCAGAAAATCTTGAAACATTGACCATCTATTACATTGATTAATGATTGACCCCCTGAAATCACCTCAACAAAGGTCCATCTTCATCCATCTTCCAGTTCCTGAAATGCGATGTGTCTAATCATCTTCCGTATCTGTCTGCTGTAGAAATTAAAGACCATAAGCACATGGCCGCCAAATCCATGCCCAAGAGACCTTAAGCACATTCATGCGGCTATCCAACAAGACTTCGCCGTCACACACCCCTCGCAGCACCTTCCGGAAGCTGCTCACCAAGCTCTCGGCATCCGCCGTGTCCAGCACCGCACGGATCCGGCCCCTGAGAGCCACGTGCATGAAGACGGAGGAGGCGACCTCCGTGGACATGGACGGAACCGACCGAAACACGGAGAACCACGACCCCACGACCCGAAGACAGGGCGGGTTGGTTTGCCGGACCTGTTTCGTTGGAACGTTTATGGTATGTCCTTTTTGGAGAACAAAACCAGACCCAACAGGCAAAACAGGCTGCCACATGGCTGAAGGATGCGTCGTGTCCACGTGGATCGGTGAAGGGGCGGAGGCTATCTATCTATCTCCGAGTCTGGGGGGATGGTGCTGGGATCTGACACGAGGAGATCGAGCGGTACCTGAATTGAGTTGAAAAAGAACACCCGTTCTAAAATCATTATCCTAGGTTGAAATCACAGCAATTCCAAGCGGTGGCCATCATGTACCCAACATGCGCTCATATATATGGTTGTATGTTGTGTATGCCCTTTTAACAGCTGCGTTCTTACTTACAGAGTCCAATGGTTCCAAATGTGAAGCTGAAAGTAGCCATCCTCTTGCACACAGAAACAAATTGCCAAGACTATACACCCTGGAAAGCACTTGGACAAGTGGTCAAAGTTGCAAAGGGGTCTAGCGCGGATCTAGCGCGGATCTAGCGCGCTTCCCTGCCAGTGCATGGCCACCAAACGTCTGTGATCAAGAACTCGCTTTCTCGTCTCTCAAACAGTTACTCCCTTACAAACAGTTGCTGCCTTTTTCAGCGCGCGCTGCCTTTCAAACAGTTGCTGCTCTTGTGCCTGTGCGGGTGTGTGTGTGTGTATGTGCACCAATGAGTGACCATTACAATCAGCTCTTGTTTGTTAATCTTTTCTAAGTTACCTAAGTACTTGATCCTAGCGCCAAACCTAGCGCGAACCTAGCGCAACCCTGCGTTTTGCTAGCGCGACGAGGCCAGAATACCAAGCGGTGGCCAAGCGATTTCTGAACCTCTGGGAACATTCCTTACTTAATACATATTCCCGTTTTTTTTTTCGACTCAATTGTCCTTTTAAGAATGAATCGCCCGCAATCTTGAGGTGGTTCAGGGATGTTCAGGGTGTCCATTCACCACCGTGACCATGAGGCCCAAAAGTTGTTGTTGAGCTTGAGCAAAAACAGGGGTGTCGGTTTCTCCAAGAACCCAACACATACACTCCACTCATTGAGCCAGGTCACACTGGAGACAAAAACGAAGCAAAGCCCAAAGCACACATAAGGGGCCATGTGGGACCCGGAGCAAACGGTGAAATAAGTCAAGGCATCTGCTGCAGTGAAGAGGAATTGAAAAGGAATGGATACCCATGGATCCAAGAATGCGAAGACCAGCACGAAGCGAGTTGCAGTATTGGGAGCTGCCTTGGCACCAAAGGTGTCACTCTCGGAGGCCACCTGCAGAATGTGCAAAAGGAAGGCCATGATATGATGCAAGTAGGTCAGGAATTTGATCCGTCCAGGTGTCAGGCAAACCACCTCCTTGGCCACCAGAAGATGTTGAACATAGCTGGCCACCACCACGCTCGCACTTCCGATGGTCTCCAAACCAGGAGAGGACAAGGCCGAATAGGTGAAGCTCAGTACAGCACAAAATGCTGCCTGGGAAAAAATGCGGCTCAACAACTTGTAGTTGGCTTGCCGCAACTTCACGAGTTCCTCCTCTTTCACGTGTTTGCAAGGCTTTGTAGCATCGGCTAAAACGTGTAATATACTATTTATATATAACAATACCAAAATAATAACATATATAAATTCAACATATTCCTAGAAGTCCAGTTCGACTATCTTCCGGTTCTTGTACCAGCTAAACGTGTGGCTGTAAATACCAACAACAAAAAACACTGGCAAGAAAACCACCAAAAAGAAGCGAGCATGCAGTTGCAGGGCGGCGTATCAGACGCGTCCCTTGTTTTTGATGTTCTTTTGTTCAGCGGGGTCAAGCTGGGGTTTTGCTATTATTTTACTTCCACCCCGCCTCATATCCCAAACAATCCATGGGTTGGATTGAGGGGTCAATGTAATTAGGCATGTATATGGCATGTATTCCATACATGGAGTGTTTGGGTATGGAGATGTCCCTTAGATCTCTAGCAGGGGGTGATTATAAATCAACAGTCTCACCGGACACATGGTCCTGCTACTGCACTGTTCCTCCCCGTTATGTCTGCGTGCAACTTCAGAGGTAGCCAGGCCCAGTGTACATGCATCCTACGTTGGTCTGCCATTGTTTCCCGTCCTCCATCCACGCTTCCTTGAAGTCCTGAACGCCCTGCCGCTGGATCATGAAGTTGATGAGCCATCCTTGAAGGTCTAAGAAGTCTCTCTTGGTCAAATAGGCATGCAAGGGCGCCACAAGAAGTGCCAAAGTGATCATTGAAAGCAAAGCGTCCATCTGGTCCATCTCTGAAAGCAAAGCGTCCATCAAAACTGGAAAAACCCTGGTGGACACCTGGTCAACTGAACGGCTTCCTCTATAGGGGATGTCAACCTAACAGGGTTTGGTGAAAAAGGTTTTGACTCGCAGCCACATGACTCTGGACTGTTGAAGAAGCCACAACTCAGCAACCTGAACACACACACTTTCCCTGCCATGAATGTCATTCTATTGTTTGACTTGCCATCTCGCGCCATCTTGTGCCTTTTGCCGTGGGAACACCAACCAAAAAGCCTCTTGAACGTTCTTTCTAGGCCCTTCACAGGATCAGGGTGAGAGCCAGGGCTCCGTGGGCGACACGTCGACCGGTTTTTCGGGTGGCCCGTGGTGGCCCGTGGCTGCCAGACCCGAAAGGCGGTGTCAGACCCGAGCTTTGTTCGCATTTGTGGGACTGGAATAGTTAAACCTACCCAAACGCTCCATTCACAGACCGACCGGCCCCTCAAAACCGATCGGGATTGGTGAGAAACCCGATCACCCCGAAGCAGAGGATTCGGGTCCATGAGCATCTGAGTAGACATACATTGATCCTGAAAAAAACGTCTCAAAATCACCCCAATTGATCGGCAAATATTCCAGTCCCATGGATTGTTAGGGAAACAATGCAACAAGCTACAAAGCTATACCAAGAGAATCTATCAGACCTGCGTAGGTTTGTTTACCATTTTGTGCTGAAAGCGAGGTTTGTCAAGATAAGTTTCTTTCTGGACGCCGGACGAGTATACAGAATTGTCCGCTTAATTGTTCATTCCTCAAGAACCCTTATACCCTCCATAGCAGGGGGCGGATGCTGGCGGATGCTGGCGGATGCTGCATTGCAGGGGTCTGTAGCCTGAAAACCCTTTGTACTCTTTGTGTGTGTTGGGGGCACAGGAAAAAACCAGGGGTTTGGGGATTCCTTTTTGTAAGTTGGGACTGGGGTTGGTTCATTCACCCTTCATTCACCCTGCACCCTTGATGTAGGTGCCCAACCTTTCGGTGCAGGGTCCGGAGATGCTCAACCTTCCGGCGACCCTCGGGTGCTTGGAGCAAAATACCAGGACCCTCGTGCCCATGTTTGGAGACCCGACCACAGGTCGGGAACCGATCTGTCGTCACCAGGTAGTGAACCGATTGGTATCTGATATGAGGATTGGACCAAATCGATTGTTTGGGTCGGGAGGTCTATCTCCGACCATCCCCAAGAGGCTGCCAGGTAACTACAAGTGGCCCTCAAACAAAATGCTTTCACACAAAGCCGTGTTCTTTGCTAGAGGAAACCAGGTCTTTGATGGTGGGGCCCCTTGGTAGCCCATGCCAGGGGTTCAAAAGGGATGATTTCTTGGAGGAGCAACATCAATATGTATCAAAGTAGAGAGACCCATTAACATATACACATCCATATACTGTTTAGATCTGTTTAGCAGTCGAATTTTATATCCAAGCCATCCGGGCCCATCCCAGTCATCAGCTGAAACATCTTCACCCCTCTCATTCTTTCCATGTCACGGTTACCTCTTCCTATTAGAAATCAGAGAAATCAAAAGCCGCCCCCCCGAATTGCTCAACGACATCTACCCACATAAGGTTCAGAGAACACCACCATGTATATAGTTTCAGCTCCTCAAAATTGCATCACAGTGGTTTCAGAGTAGACGGCACAAACCTCAATATGTTCTTTACATGGGGGTTCAAATAAACCAGCTCTTGAGGTCTGTGCCATCTACTACTCTAGTCAAGAAATCTATAATATAGACTGTATATGTCTGTGCACATAGTCAACAAACAATCAAAAATAGACATCAAACAATCAAGAACCACTCTGGACTCGACAGGGAGGTGCTTTGGCAGTTTCTGAGGTTCATGTCAAAAAGCACGTGATGAACAAACATCCACCTTGCAGTTGAACACGGTTCACTGTGCGCCGCAGTGAAGCTGCTTCACTTCTCTGATGTGTCCAAGTCACCACCAAATCCTCCTCGCTCTCAGTTGAGGACGAGGATTCCAAACTCTCCTGTGTTCGCGCTTGCCCTGCCACCGGGCCCAAGGCCGTCCGACGCGGGCTGCCTCCGCGTCCGCCTCCCAAGAGCAACGAGGTATGGGACTGTCATATTCATCGATCAGGCCTAGGGGTGCTTGATGGATTGAACATGAGGTCAATGTAGGTACCCAGACGCTCTATGTATGCCATAGTGTATGCCATATGCCATATATGGCTACATTGGTGTGGTTTAGGGGGTCAATGTAGGCATATATTCCAGTCCCATGGAGTGCATGGGGTAGGTTTTAATTTTCTACCAGTCCTATGGAGTCTTTAGGAACTGAGCTTTCAGATCGGTTGCTTTCTGGGGTCCGGGGGGGCAGATATTCGAATCAAGTTGGCACGCGGATTTCTGGCCTTGTTCTGGAAGATATCATCTGGAGCTGGAGAAGGTGGTTAAAAAATAAGATCCGGCCCTAAGAGCCATTGATGAAAGAAACAAACCCCTCTTAGATCCTCAAACCTGGGTCTCACACCGAGAGTTCCACACTCCGCAGCACCGCCGCAGTGCAGTTACCATCTATAGGATTACAGCCAGCCTACGGATTTTATGTTTAAGAACCATTGTATAGCTCATGACACCTACTGGAAAATCAGTACACAGATGGGCACCCAACATGACCTCCAAAGGGATTCAGGACCCAAACCACCTCTTACAACGAAAAGGAGTGTATTGTTTTCGGTAGGTCACCTTGTCCAGTGGTTGGTTGAGTCCAACTCAGTGTCGTGCCAGTTCATCATACCTGCGAACACTTGTGTCCAAATGCAAATGGCTCAATGGTGTGTCGTCTGGTACAAGGAATTGCCGAAGAATCACGTGAGCCAACGAGTCCTTTCTGAAACCCTTTCTCCACACCTACTAAGCCTACTATAGTACTAGACCAGCGGACCTTCTGAGGGACAGTTTGTTGTTTCAACCATTCACTGATCATTCATGATGCCTTTACTGAAAACATCTGAAAACGCATATACTCACGTGTTATATATACTCATGCGTTTATTTAAACAACATATATAAGAAACAATAATGAATCATATTACTCATTTCGTCCTGCCCAGCTCTCCCAAAATCAACCACCCTCCCGAGGGGTTGTTGTTCGCACGAAAGTACCGTGATTGATCACGGCTCCGGTGCTCACAGATTGAGAACCCCGGCTTCGGCGGGGTCAAGGCGGTCAAGGAGACTTTTCATCACTGGGGCAGGTTGCTCGTCCTTCGTCACATGGGGTCACTCTCCACATGGAGCACTCGCCTCTCAGCTCATCCTGCAGGAGCTCCAAGCGCTGTAGGACCTACCCGGCCGCGTGGGATGCGGTTGCGGCCCACACCTGTCCGCAACCGCATGTCAAATGAGGTCACTTTCCTCCATGTGCAGAAAAGAACATGAAAGATGTGAATTCTTCACGTTGACTTCAACATGGCACCGTACCGAAACACCACGCATGAAAAAAACTGATGGCGAGCACCGTACCGCCGATATCCCTTCCTTCCGTACTGAAGACGGACCTGGCGGTTCTCCTTCTCCAGTCTTGCCACAGTGGCTTCCAGTTGTGCAACCCGATCCATGGCGCGAAACCCAAGCCGGATCAAGGCAGGTTGGAAGGAAAATGGGTGCGAAAAATGCTTGTTACACGGATTATGATCTATAATCTATATAAGTCTCACGGTCCATCACCATCCACTTCTTTCGACCAGAACTCTAGGCGAACCCGCATGGTGTGTCGACCGAAACCAATATGGCAACAAGAATCCAATCATGTCAGACATGAGTGATAAATATCAATCAAGCCTAACAAAGCCTCAGTTCACATCACCGTCCCTCTTCGGGGCCAGGGCTGTGTGTTGGATGGGCCGACTCCGTGCACATCGGTGTTGGTGCTCCTCACGCCTCTCGCGGCCCAGAAACCAACCGCGCAACTGGACACGGCCACACACGCGAGCGAGGGGTTTGAGCTCGGCCGAGCGAGACACGGTGGGCAAAGACAACGGGCCCCTCGGTCTGTCGGAGAATCGCCGGAGAAAAGCAGCAGCTTCAGGGTCGGAGAAACCAAGAAAAAGGCCTCCTGAGGATGCTCATTGGAAGCTGCTTGTAGCGTGGGGTGCCTTGAGCAAAAGTCCCTAGAAGAATCGATTCAGTGGAGTTTTCACATCATCTGTTTGCACGACATGAAGTGGTTTCATGGTCATTTCTGTTTCACTCTCAGGTCAGGTGGTTAGGCTCTCCTGGCACCTACCCCAACCGTAGGGAGCCGCAATTAGGAAAACATCCTTTTCCCCAAAAGCAGGTCACCATCGATTCAAACCTCAAAAACTGCACTTCGCGTAGCGTCTGGGTGTGTAGAACTTGCTCGCTTAGGAGGACCGAAGGTCCCCGCGTCCGTGTGGACGAAGTCTGCAAGATGGCACGGTTTGGGCTCTCCGGAAAGACGAAGTCAACAGCTGTCTACTGTACCCAGCCAGCGGGCGAGATTTGGGGCCTCTCCCGGATCTAAAGTATACACACCCAAATCATCATCGCAAATCGACCGGAGAGCCCTGGAAGAACCCCAATCCAACGTCCGGTTCGAACCGGCATGGGGTGCTTTCCACATGGTGCATGGTGCAGTCACAGTCGCGTCACGTCCCCTCTCTCGCGGGGTGGGAACGGTGTTCTTCCAAACGAACAGTTTGCTGAACTTCTTGTGGTCAAACAGCACCTGGGAGCTTCTAAGTAGGGGCTTCAAGTACCACGGGTCTGAAAACAACGGGATCTTTTCACCAGGGACCTCAGCCTCACCAGACTGTAGACCAGGGAGCTCATGACAGCCGGAGCCAGGAATCTGCCAGTCTGGGTTGACCAGGAAACACCGTGATTTACTCGAATGACGAATCCGCCTGGTGACCTCTTGGAGATGGTCAGAGGAGATAGACCTCTGTCCATTCTGAACCAACGGGGGGGGGGGGCGACCCAAACAATACCCAGTGGATCCAGGCAAACCACTGCTATAGTATGCTATAGTATATCACACCAGTGGTT